CGATTATTTAAATTACACGCAGTGAAATAGCTCTTTTTGCATAGCTGTCCATCACATATCAGCATTGAATTCATTTCTCCGTTTGATAGTCGCAGCCATGCTACTTATCGATTACGGTAGGCCATTCTTTATTGCATTGATCTAGTAATATGTTGCAAGGCACAGTAGCATTGGAAGCGAAAGTCGAATCTACAGACGAAATTTTACTGTGCTTGTTGGTAGTGACATAGTTTCATATACTTTCTGTGCCGTATTATAACTGTTGCATCTTCAGGGATTTTCGGAGATCGCTGTGTGACAGTGTTTTTAAAACATTAAACACGAAAATAACGTCGATCAGTATTTCCAATGTTCTTGATCATGTGCTAGTACTTGACCGTCGACTGAACATAACCTGAGCCTGGAACTGTGTCCTTATGCATACTTGACCCAGATTATTCTGGGCCGTTTCCGGCCTCTTAGGCCGGTCGGTTGGGCTAGTAGTAGCTGTTACGTCTTCCTTTCTGAAATCATTCGCAACACGTGCCAAAATCATGTGAGCTGTGACTTTTCAGACTGGATAAGCAGTGGCTGCACAACGATGTTTTCTGGATACCTCTACTTCAGACCAGGTTGAGACGCGTGACGCCAGCGACTCGCTTCACAAAGTCCATTTAAGCCGCTTGTCCCCTTGATCGAAGTTTTTCAGTTACGTCCCACAATTCATGACCATAGGTGCTCATCGGAATGAAGGTCAACGTGAACATAAAAACCCTAGTCTTCAGACTCAGCACAGCCTTAGTCACAACGGCTCAGGCGACTTCACTCAGAACGCCGTTGGCTATTCCAATTTGCCGGTCGATCTCTTCCTCACATTTTCTGTCACCACTAAACACGACCCTGAGGTGCGCGAACTTCACCTGTTCCGCTGATTTTCCATTTATTTGCAGTGCGCAGCGGGCATGAGAAAGAAAGCACTAGGCGTTTCGTTTTAGAAGCGTTCATACGACCGGCCGACCACGTCACTCTCGGCTGCGAGCTTTTTGAAAGAGTACTCGAGATCAGTTTCAGAAGATGTCAGCAAAACAGCAGCCATCTCGTCTCCACATATACAGCGCTGATACACTCTTTGCCCTGGCAGCGTTTCTCTTTTATATCCTTGCTCAGCACAAACGGGAGAGGTGACAACGAACTCTTGCCGAAGACCGATGCCAATGCTGAAAGGGCTCGGCTTAATACTATTTACTCTGACGCACCTCCTGCCATTAACATAATGAATGGATAGCCCATTGCAGGTGGCCCAGGCATGCTCACAACTTATTGCTTGAGATGCGGTCATGCGCTCTCCATTTCCACGAAGCACATGTCAATTTGATTAGCGAAATTTCAATGTTTGAACAGTCTGCCATAGACGAAGATCTGGTCAGTGGTACACTAACACTGATGCTACACTGCTCTTCTTCTATCTTAGAGTCAGTTTTTTCGTGGCACCTCCTTTCTAACACCTTTGCTTTGAGTTTTCCCGCGAGGTCATCAGTGAGGTAATGCCCTGATAATTGAAATATTCCCTATGGTCTCCCTTCTTGAACAGTGTTTCTAGAACCTCCGTTCTTCAGTTTGCTGGCGTCTTCCCCGTAGCCACTGGAGTTTTAGAGAAGCGTGTCAAAATGGCCGCAACATGCCTTATTCGCTTAAAGCTTTTAGTATTTCAAGGCGGATTACATTGACTCTCGTGGCTTTGTCACTTTTCAAGCTCTTTACAGTTTAGATGACTTCATCTACTGAATGTTTAATGTTCGTTGCCTGCGGCTCTTCATACGGATTTTCCTGCGGTTGTTCGGGGTTAAGGAGTTCCTTAAGGTACTCTTTCCATCGTACCATCATCGGTAAGAGAGTGTCCAGACTTATCCTTCAGGACTCTTAGACTGCCCTTCTTTTCACCTCGGAGTCGGCAGATAGTCTGCCAGATAACCTTGTTTGCCGTCTGAAAATTCGATTTCAGCACCTCACCGAATTTTTGTTAGGTATCAGCTTTCGTTGCCGCCTTGGGAGCTTCTTCGTATGACATTCGAGTTGAAGCCTCTGTACTTCCAAACCATCTCTTGAATGCAGCCGTCTTCTCACTGACAGCCAGTTAAGCATGTCATACCCACCAGGAAGTTGGTTTCTGATCATCAGGTGATAGGCCAATCCATTAAACCGCAGCATTCAATGATAGCCCCGAGTATGTGCTCTTAAAGATTTCCTTCAGTTTCCACATCAGTGGTTATCACAAGTATCTGTTGAAACCGTCGTGCGATGTTTGCAAGTTGTGCTCTTGTATTTGCCAAAGGTAATGTTTCCCATTTGATTCTTTGGTTGCTTTTGCCATTGGGTCTTTGTATCGTGCTCCATTTCTTAAGCGTAGCCTGCAAGCAACAAGGTGGTGGTCAGTTGACCGCTCTCCGCCCCTCTTAACACAGACATTCATTACAGAGCATTGTAAGTCCGACGATAGGATGATCAAATCAGTCATTGATTTCAGAGTACAAGCTTCCGTGTGCCAGATACACTGATGCACGTTTCGATGTTCGAAGAAGGTGTTCATAACAGACAGCCCGTTGTTTGCACAAGACCGCAACAACTTCATGCCGTTATTGTTGAGGTCGCTAGGGTCGTTCTTTCTAATCACGCCTTTTTTTCATTTTCAGTGTCTACTCCGACATGCGCACTGAAATCGTTCATCATGTTCCGTAGTCGGCACTTCATACAGAGTACCTTTACTTCCCCCAAAAATGAGTCATTCTCCAAATTTGGCGCATAGATCTGTAGCAAGGTCAAAGCCTTAGGCATTATAACCTCTGGCGTGTGATTTCCACTCTTCCGCTGACAGGCTTCCATTCAGTGATTATGTCAGCCAGATTTGATTCTTCTAAAACACTAGCACTTGCCTGAGTACGTGTTGTGGAGTCGACATCTGAGGAGAATAATTTGCATCTTTTTTCTGTCTGAGTGAGGACATGATCCAATTTCCCACTTTTAGCTCCCACTGGCGGCATCGTTCTCTTCAACCTTATCTCACACCCTCTTGCAGCTTCGCGGTGTCTTTCTGATCTAGTACGCGATCCGCTGCTGACTGATATTTTTGGCATATTTTTGTCGATTTTCGACGGCCTTCTCTGCGCCGCTACGCATACAACTGCCAGATGGCGAGAAGCAGGTTTTGATGTTTGTCTTTTCGCAGCCTGAATCAGTTCCTCAACAACCTGCGCGGCCTTTAGTAGTGCAGACGACTACCTAGCTGGCTGAAGGTTCGATAGCGGCATTGCCATGAGGTGGGTCAGGAGGATTAAGTTTTATGGGGGATTTCGGCGCTGTCCTGCTTTATCCTTTCCGATTTGTGCTTTGAACCGACTGAGGCGAAAATAACGTGTGATTGAAATGTTCTGGAATCAATCGACTGTTTTTTGAGTTTTATAGGAATCCCTTGAGCCGTTGTTCATATGCCATCCATACATCGTCAAGCGTACAGAAGCAAGAGTTGAGGCAGGAAAAAGCTTCGATTGATGCATGCTTTTCAGTTGAAGCTGGAAGCCGGTTAATGAGAGACACGTATTTTCTATGGCGTTTTAATGAAACGGTTTACTGTTGTAGCGATACCTGTTCATTTGTGAAGGTTTTTCTGAAAGACACAACTGACCATTTCAACAAAGAAACATGGACAGTGGAAGAGTTACGTGCGAGCGACGCGCAGCTGAGCAATGCCATTAGTGCTCCCGTTTCTTGCTCTCACGTTATGGTGACCTGCTACGTGCCTAAT